TGTCATTTTTTTTCCTTTCTAGAACGAGAAAAAAATTTTTCAGGCGAATCAAAATTTTGATTGTAAATCTGATATGGAATGACCCATATGTATATATTTTGTGTGCTTGAGTGTAAGTGTATATACATACGTGCAGACACATATTCATTAGTGCGTCACTAAAGACAGAGAGGGAAAAATAGAGGGAGCTCAGATGCTGAACCAAAAATGAATTTGCTCGTAAAGAAATATCCATTTAGTTCTTGCAACTGCTAGAAGTTACTATCGTTCGATACGTTTGTGAGTTTTGTATTTCATCGAACAGTGTGACCATGAATTTAACAATAACCGAATTTGTTAAATATTAATTTAAATATTAATATATAGATTCCAATTTATAAAAATATTACGTGTTTACAAATAATACGTCTTTAATTAATGCTTGGTTAAATGTTTTATAGGGGTATACAATGGCACTCATAACGGCTTACTGGGGACTAGATGGCATAATATTTCTGACCACTCTAATTATACCTGCCTATCTTTATATGACACGCAAATTTAACTACTGGAAAAAACGAGATGTCTCAGTAGCCCTTCCACCGATACCATTTTTGGGCAATTTCGCAGACCCTCTACTCCTAAAGAAATCTCCTGGAAATTTTCTGCAGGAACTTTATATTCAAGGAAAGGAATCTCCTTACATCGGCTTTTACATATTAGACAAACCGGCTCTGTTAATTCGCGATCGGCAGCTTGTTAAAATGGTTTTAGTAAAGGACTTCAATTACTTCGCTGACCGATACGCCTCACCTAATATAGTAAATGATCGTCTGGGTTCTGCCAATCTCTTTCTTATGAAAAATCCAGCCTGGAAAATTTTGAGAACGAAATTGACGCCGTTCTTTACGTCTGGCAAGATGAAGAAAATATTCGAACTGATGCTGGAATGCGGAAAGGATCTAGATACGTATCTCGAATCGCTGAAATTGGGAGGTAAGTACTGAGTTTATGAAGTTAATTACGTATCATCAAAAGGGACAAAAAGTAAAAAGGCCATTACGACTAATAATGGAAACAATAATAAGAGTATGATTGATGGTAGATCAAGGAAAGGAAATGGACATAAAGGAGTTAATCGCTAAATTCACTACTGACATAATCGGCACTGTTGCCTATAGACTTAACGTGAATTCGTTGAATAATCCAGACGCCGAGTTTCGAAGACATGACAAATTAATTTTTGACTTCAACTTTATTCACGCTTTGGCGTTCTTGGCAATGTTTTTTCTTCCACATATAATTAATATAACCGGTATAACAAAAACATTTGCTAAGGAGAGCTCTATCTTCCTACGTAAAGTCTTTTGGGAGACGATCAGTCAACGCGTAAAGTCTGGCGGAAAGAGAAATTATCTCATTGACACCCTTATTGAACTCAGAAACACTTACGGAGATCAGGACATGGGAGGATTTAGTAAGCAAAGGATTCATGAAGCTAATGCATAAATTTTTTTAATTTACATTTAGAAAATTAATATACCCAATAAATTTAAGCTATAATTCCAATAGCTATAACAGTTAGTTATGGTAAATAAAAAAATTTTTCAAAGTTTGAAAAGATGAGAATTAAAATTTTAGAATTTGACGGGGACGATCTACTAGCTCAAGCAAGTATTTTCTTCACAGCTGGTTTTGAAACCTCTTCGTCGACAATGTCTTTCACTTTGTACGAAATCGCAATGAACCCCGAAATACAAGACAGACTTAGAAAAGAAATTCTTGATGGGCTTGATGAAACAGACGGCAAAATCACATACGACATGGTACGTAAACGCACATAAGTTTTGCGTATAAAAATAAGTTTAATAAGACGGAAATGGATTTGGTGTTATCAAGTTTAATATACTTATTTCAGGTCTGGTCGTTACCGTATCTAGACATGGTGGTATCCGAAACTTTGAGGATGTATCCGCCATTGCCATTTCTAGATCGCGTGACAATGGACACCTACAAGTTGCCGAATTTCGATTTAAAGCCCGAAAAGGGCACACCGATTTATATCTCAATGGCAAATTTATATCTCATGTGGCATGCACTATGACCCGGAATACTTTCCTGATCCACACAAATTCGACCCGGAGCGTTTTACCGAGGAGAACAAACGTAATAGACCAACAAATGTGTATTTTCCATTTGGAGATGGCCCACGCGTATGCATAGGTGAGATCATTGTTAATGAGAATTAAAGATGAACTTAATATAGCTATGATTTTAAGAATAAAGCAGCTAAAATATTCATTTATATTTTTGATCTATTAGTTATATAAGTTATATGAATCATGAATTCTTATGTAATCTATTACGCATACAATAATGAGAATGAACTCTATCCGTATAAATTACATACATAAGATCTACGATCTGAATTATGATATCGCGAAATTAGTCGGAAGTCGCATACATTGAATTTTGTAATAGAATTTTTACTAAGACAATGCTATTCTTATTTGTTAAAATATTATGAGACATCTCACGATATGTTATTTATTCCATAGGTTCTCGTATGGGACTTTTACAAACAAAATTGGGGATCGTTACAATTTTGCGCAAATACGAGGTAGTACCAGGCAAAAAAACTCTAATCCCAATGGTTCTCAATCCGAAATCTTTCTTGACGGCGCCACTAAGTGCTGATCTATATCTCACCTTCCGCAAGATTAAGAGCAGCTAAATAATATGTAACCGTGTTTGATAATGTTAATATAATGTTTTAAAACCACAGAATGCATTAGACAGTCGATATTTCAAATACATAATTTTACTATAATAAATCACTAGTGGACATACATTAACTTTAAAAATCTCATTAGTTTCTGTAATTTTAAGCGATTTTTTTATTGCATTCTGAAACTTAGACGAGGAAGTTCACGTTGAAATCGGAAGAGGCTCAGTTGAGAAGAACGTCGTCTGACCGATGTCCCTACATCTTCTTCCACGCTGTCGCGTACTTGCTGGATTCTGTTCTGTTCGGGCAGAACGTGGTCTACCTGCTCGAGGCAGGTCGGCAATAGACCCCCGTTGTCGAAAACGTGTAATTAGATTACGTATAGTCATCTCCGAGGGAGCAGTTCTTACATTGAAACGAACGTCTGCGATACGCTCTCTGGGTCTGAATAATTGATCTTTGGTTTTCAAAATAAAGTTCGACAATAGCGACTCTTTGTTCAATGGTGAATTTCTCCATAACAAAAACTTCCAAGTTTCTAGTTTCTAAATCTGAAATAAAAATTTACAAAACATTAATTTTTCAAAAGTTATCAATTTTTAAAATCACCTAGGAACTTTTAAGACACCCTGTATAAAAAAATCGCCTTTAAATATCATAGTAAAAAAACCGAAATGACTTAAGACTCAACCCAATAATTGCAATTTTATAAATGTGTTAAAGAAAAGGTTACAGCAAAAAATATATTTTTGTGTCAACTGGCAAATTTTTTAACTATTAACTACTATTAACCAAGAGTAAACAATCGTGCTTGCAGGATACACATTCGATCGTTGCAAATTTAAATTAAACGAGATTGTTGACGACTAGAAATCCACGAGTTCTCTACAATTTAAAAAAATAACGCTCGTATTATATTTGACAATAACAATCATGTAAATAAGGAGGCCAAGTTTAACGAGCTATTCGGTTGACAGTATTAATATATAATAGATATATTTTACTAATAAATATAGATTACAATTAAAGATATCGGATAGCGAACGCGTTTCTGCACACAGTGCTTCATCAGCACATATAGATTTAAAATATAATTAAATAAATATTTAAAATTGGTACATTGTAGTCTTAATAAATAGTTCTGTTCACCAACGTTCCATTGGATCTTGCCATCAATGGGATCGCAGAGAGATGAGACCTAATTAAACAGAACACAGGAATTCCCCAACAAGAATTCCTGTCGGCTGTTAACTTTGTATTAACATCTACAAAAATTAAAAATGCAATTATATGATTAAATAATCGAACCAATAATAAGAATATGATTGATAAAAAAATTATTCTACCCCGTAGAATGCGTCAAATTATATAATTTTTCAGGTACATAACACGTCTTTATTTTTGAAAAGACGACGGGAGTGATGATGAGTAAATACAAAATCTATCAAAAGCTGTTTAAAGTACAGACTTCGCTCTTTAAGATAAAAAAAGTTTTCAAATACGACAATTTTTACCGGAGTTGTTTATTTTAATGTATGCGAAATTTTGATACCCAATGATCTATGCGTTCATTTCGTTGACGAGTGTAGTTTTTCGACCGTACGTTAAACAAAGATAAAATGATACACTGGAGCACTCGGGTGGTGTTTCTGAACGCGCCCCTAGTGTGGAAGAGCATTAAGTAAGGGTGTTTGTTCGCAGCTAGAACTGCGCGTAACAGTTACTTCGGCCCTAGTGTCAACGCACAAAGAAATGTAAAGTTATTTGTGCGTCTAGTAGTTTCAGTTTTATAATTTGGATATTTCTATTGCCTGAATTTTACCCTATTTCTGTTGCTTTTCTATTGTCCTTTTGTGTAAAGACCTTCGCACACACTTTCCTTCAAACGTAATAGTAAGATTTAACCAATGACGTGACCAGCCATTATTACGTTTCAGGGAAAGTATGCATGGAAGCCTTTAGGGCTTTTACAGTATTCACGTCTTAAGGTCATCTTTAGATACTTCGTTGCAGCCATTGAAATTGTTCCATACAGCATCTTTAGATCAATGCAAGACGGTCTTGAATACAAGATCTATGAATACCGGCCCTAAATATTTCCTATCCTGCCACCAATCAACACGCTGAAAAAACTTGTCGAATAACAAATGTAATACCAACCATGATGTAAAAATACAAGGTGTAACATTCCTGTAGATGCGTACGACCAATCAGAAATTTATCCCAAACCTCTATACTGCAAATTATTGCAGTTAAATGCAGCAAAATCCAATAAACAATTTGTCCCCAAAAGTAGTTTTATACGCATTGTTTCATCTTATATTTTTACATCAGGATACCAGCCTTAAAGGCACATGTAAAAGCTCTGAGCGTATATTTTGCAGTTGCACCACTAATCACATGCAATGACCGAGGCTCGTTCGATTTTTCAGTACTGGCAGTGAATAATGCTGTCACCAGATTGTTGGCAGAAACAGAGGGGGGGGAGGGAGTAAATCACTAACCAAAATCATATACACCAATGCCTAGTAATACGTTAAAATTCGGTAGTAATGCCTAGTGGGATATAAACTCGATGAATATTCAAAAATTATTCTGAACAAATATTCTAAAGACATTCCCGACGAATATTCTAAAAATATTCTTCTTTATTATGAATATATGATTTCTAATTGTAATAATATATATATATATATTTATAGAATATTTGATTGGAATATTCTGAAATTAAGAATATTTGCACTCCAGAAGAATATTCCTAGAAGTATGTGTGCTATCTGGGTTTGGGGACTTTGAGTTTGAGGGCTTGTCCTCAGAAAAAATATAAGAATAGGAAGTAGGAAGACCCTCTCTACAGTAAGTGCCAAGCTCATGCTCGTGTCCTTACTGCATTTGCAACAGGAAGCACGCCATTTGACGTCGAGCCTTTAAGCCTTGAGCACGTGTAATACCTACGTATAATACCTAGGTAAGTTATAGGAAAATTTGAGAATATCTTTTACGTTCTTATACCGTAATAAATATATTTCTGATATTTATTTAATATGTAAATTCATAAATAGAAAATAAAATAATTTAAAGAGAAGAGAAAAGATAGTAAGAGAAAGAAATAGTACGAAAAAAGAAGTAAGTAACAGAACACGTTTCATTTCAAAGAAACTATAAAATAGGAATAAATGAGATAAATATCCTAATTATAATTAAAACGATAACGTCACAGTAGTTTGTAACTTTTTATAGATTATTCATAAATTTAATGAGTAGGGCGCGGACGTTCGTGTAATTTCTCGGCGTGCACGTGGAGCTGCGTGCGAGTGAGGCGAATGCTGAAGTAAGATAAGAACATTTATCGAGGAGACTCGACACTCGCTAATTGTAAAAAATGATGATCGAAATTTTGCTATCTCACTTTAGCGAGTATTCAACTCACACGCACGCAGTGATATTTCGCACGTACACCGAGAAACCGCACGGGGCTTATCTCATTAATAGGAGGTTAACGAGATAAGCCCCGATAGGAAAATATTTAGAAAATTATGTAACGAAGTCTGGATAAAACTTGGAATTACATATATAATTCCATAAAATTCCATTTAAAAAATAAAAGAATGTATATTTCGTACATATTTCGAATAGCATATGCATAAATCGACACCTTTTATCAAATATTGTTAAATATTTGCATAATGTATTTTTAAATTGTAGTCAGCGAAACAGCAACGTTTTGGCAAATTACCTTGGCAGAATATACGCATAATTAAATTGCTCTAGTGTTACGACG